GACCCCTTCCAGCCCTGTTATTCTATGTTTCTCCCCCATCTGGGCAGTGGGGGCCTGGGGTCTCCTGTTCGAGCAGGGGGCTGGACTAGAAGACCTCTTAAGGCCCCTTTCCACCCTGTTATTCTATGTTTCTCCCCCATCTGGGCAATTTGGGCCAGGGTCTCCTCTTCCAAGCAGGGGGCTGGACTAGAAGACCTCTAACGCCCCTTCCAAGCCTGTTATTCTATGTTTCTCCCCCATCTGGGCAGTGGGGGCCTGGGGTCTCCTGTTTGAGCAGGGGGCTGGACTAGAAGACCTCTAAGACCCCTTTCAGCCCTCTTATTTTATGTTTCTCCCCCATCTGGGCAGTGGGGGCCTGGGGTCTCCTGTTCAAGCAGGGGGCTGGACTAGAAGACCTCTTAAGGCCCCTTCCAAGCCTGTTATTCTGTTTCTCCCCCATCTGGGCAGTGGGGGCCTGGGGTCTCCTGTTCAAGCAGGGGGCTGGACTAGAAGACCTCTTAAGGCCCCTTCCAAGCCTGTTATTCTGTTTCTCCCCCATCTGGGCAGTGGGGGCCAGGATCTCCTCTTCCAAGCAGGGGGCTGGACTAGAAGACCTCTTAAGACCCCTTCCAGCCCTGTTATTCTATGTTTCTCCCCCATCTGGGCAGTGGGGGCCTGGGGTCTCTTGTTCGAGCAGGGGGCAGGACTAGAAGACCCCTTAAGGCCCCTTCCAACCCTGTTATTCTATGTTTCTCCCCCATCTGGGCAGTGGGGGCCTGGGGTCTCCTCTTCAAGCAGGGGGCTGGACTAGAAGACCCCTTAAGGCCCCTTTCAATCCTGTCATTCTATGTTTCTCCCCCATCTGGGCAGTGGATGCCTGGGGTCTCCTGTTACAGCAGGGGGCTGGACTAGAAGACCTCTAAGGACCCTTCCAGTGGGGGGTGGGGAAGGCCTGCTTGGGTGGGGCTGGCACCCAGTTTGATGCCCTGGAATAGTGGTGACTCACAACCCAGGTTACCTACTTATGGGAACAGCTGTTGTCCTTCCTGGCTGGCTGACTGGCTTGAAGCTTCCTATTTGCAACTTGTAGGGTTTCAGACTCTTATTGCATGAAGCTCTTGGGCCTCCTTACACTGGTGGTAAGTCCCAAAGGTGCTTATTTTTTTTTTTTCAGCAGGCAACTGGACTTTCTCGTTTCTCTTCGAAGACCTTTCACTTCTCATCCCAGAAGCTTCTTCGGTTCTGACCGAACGATGGAGGATGGAAGGATTTATAGTCCTCGCAGTCATGTGGTCCTTTGACCTCTTTTAGAGAGTCCTTGAGGCCACCTGGAGGTTTGTCTGGGTCCTGAGTGGGGCAAATGGGTGGGGAGCCTTCTTGGCTGCAGGATGTTTTTGCCCTGGTGTTTTTTCGCCAGGGCAGAAAACATCCTGCAGCCAGGAAGGCTCCCCACCCATTTGCACCACTCAGGTGACCCTGAGGACACAGGTAATCTTCCAAGTGGCCTCAACGACCCTCTAAAAGAATGCAAATGACCAGCTGTCTGCAAGGAGTATAAATCCTTCCCTTCCCCACCATCCAGTCAGAGCTGAAGAAGCTTCTGGGATGAGAAGCGAAACATCTTCAAAGGAAAACAGGAAAGTCCAGTTGCCTCCTGAAAAAAGCATCTTTGGGACAACCAGGATCTGGAGGACTGAGAATCTCCATAGACATTTACTGTTGTTAAGATGGACCTTAGGTATGTCAGGTGGTGGGAGGGGGACTCCCTGCCCCATGTGGTAGGAATATGGGTGGTCCTTACAGGGGAAGAGCAGAGGGATGGGTTTCAGATGTGCATTACCTTCAGAAGTTGTGGACGCCCCATCACTGGAGGTTTTTAAGAAGAGACTGGACAGCCATTTGTCTGAAATGATATAGGCCAGGGGTAGGCAACCTTGGCTCTTTTATGACTTGTGGATTTCAACTCCCAGAATTCCTCAGCCAGCATGGGGGAACTATGGCTCCCTCATGACTCGTAGACTTCAACTCCCAGAATTCCTCAGCCAGCATGGGGGAACTATGGCCCCCTCATGACTCGTGGACTTCAACTCCCAGAATTCCTGAGCCAGCATGGGGGAAACTTTGGCCCCCTCATGACTCGTGGACTTCAACTCCCAGAATTCCTGAGCCAGCATGGCTCAGCTTGGAAACCTCTCCCTTTCCCCTCAGCATGGCTGGCTCAGGAATTCTGGGAGTTGAAGTCCACCAGTCATAAAAGAGCCATGGTTGCCTACCCCTGGTATAGGTTCTCCTGCTTGAGCAGGGGGCTGGACTAGAAGACCTCCAAGGTCCCTTCCAGCTCTATTTTCTCCCAAGAAAAGCAGGGGCGAATGAGCAGAAGATGCCCACTTTCCAAGCTGCCCCGGGGTATCTGCGTGGGCTGCGTTTGGGAGAAGGATGGTGGGGAAAAAAAGCTCTTGTGTTGTTTCTTCCTTCTTGCAGAAGATGAGATGTTCTCGGATATCTACAAAATCACAGAAGTTGCCAACGGCCTCTGCCTGGAAGTGGAAGGGAAGGTAGGTGTGAGCTGGGCAGAGGACAGAAAAGAGGGGGCCTGGTTTAGCTCCATGGTGTAGTTCAGGGGTAGGCAACCTGGGCTCTTTTATGACCCGTGGACTTCAACTCCCAGAATTCCTGAGTCAGCTATGCTGACTCAGGAATTCTGGGAGTTGAAGTCCACGAGTCATAAAAGAGCCCAGGTTGCCTACCCCTGGTGTAGTTGGATGGACCTGAAAAGAGGGGTGTTAATAGATAAAGATTTTTCAACCAGGAATTCTTACTTAGAATAGAATTCTTGATTGGCCAAGTGTGATTGAACACACAATGCATTTCAATTTATTCATCAATTTCTTTCCCTGTCTATGCAGAGGTTGAATCTATTTGAGTAGCTCTTCAGAGGTGAATTGCACAACTAGTGTTACCAGCGTAGGACAAGTTGCCCTCCCCCAAGATCACAGTACAATTACTATTTTAATTTTGATGGCACAGTTGCCCCCCCCCCCATGCACACACACACACCTTAAATACAGGAATGGGGGGGTTGATCAAGGGTTTGTGACTGGTGGGTTGAGGGTTTCAAGGTAAAAACAGACTATTATCCCCTAGATGTGTCTTTTTTCCAACCTAAAATTGCAGAAAAGCACCCCATAACATGGACAATAACCACTCTATTATGTTGCCAGCCTTCTGATGTCATCACCTCCAGCTGATGAGGGAGCAGTTGATCGTGGCCCTTTAAGGGAATAAGATAGACACCAGAAAGTAATAATTAAATTTCTGGACCGTTGTGTATACATCTTTAAATAATTATCACCTACTCTAATTGATAATATTTTGGATAATGGAACGAGTGTGTTAGGTGCTTTTGAAAGTTACACACACACGCACACCCCAAATTCTGGGCTTGGTTTGGAGATGTGGAGAGAGTATAGGCCAGGGGTAGGCAACGATTACCTGATTCAGAATAGAGGCAGTCCTTGATTTACAACTGCAGTTGAGCCCAAAATTTCAGTTGCTAAACGAGACATTTGTTAATGTGATTTTTTTTGCCCTGTTTTGCAACCTTTCTTGCCACAGTTGTAAAGCGAATCACCACAGCCACATGGTTTGTTAAGTGACTCTGGCTTCTCTGTGGACTTTGTCAGAAGATCACCAAATGGGGATCGCATGATCCCGGGACACGGCAAATGTCATAAAGACGAGTCAGTCTTGAGTTTTGATCCCGTGACCATGGAGAGGCTGCAGTGGTCATAAGCGTGAAAAACGCTTTTGGTGCCATTGTAACTTTGAATCAGGGGTCTTCAACCTTGGCCCTTTTAGGACTTGTGGACTTCAAGTCCCAGAATTCCTCAGCCAGCATGCCTGGCTGAGGAATTCTGGGAGTTGAAGTTCACAAGTCCTAAAAGGGCCAAGGTTGAAGACCCCTGACATAATGTTGAGGGGGGAAGTAATGCTAACTCAGAAAGAGCTAAAGCGTTGTTTTTCAACCTCGCTCATTTTAAGAGGTGTGGACTTCAACTCCCAGAATTCCTCAGCCAGCGTGGTCCCTAAATGGACAGTTGTAAGTTGAGGATGACCTATATGCATCTTCTGACTTTATAATTGTTCGGATTGAGAGAAAAAAACAAGGGATTTCTAGTGTCCATTGCGATCCTTCCCGTGCTCGTCTTACATATTGGGCTTTCTCGCTTACGTCCATGTCCCAGATGGTCAGCCGGAAAGAGGGCGAAATTGACGATGCTCTGATTGGTGGAAACGCGTCCGCCGAAGGCCCCGAGGGAGACGGCACAGAGGCCACCGTCATCACCGGGGTTGACATCGTCATGAACCACCACCTCCAGGAGACCTCTTTCACCAAGGAATCTTACAAAAAGTACATCAAGGACTACATGAAGTCGTAAGTGGACCCTCCTTTTGTAGCTCAAGGGAAGTTTGATCCTCAGAGCTTTTGGAAAGGCTTGTCAAGCACAGCCACCCGTCCCTCTCCGTGGATCAAACCCTCTGCTCTACACTCAGGCTACATGGAGGGAGGGGGGCATCTACAACTTGTAGATCACGTCACACTGGGAGGCATGGAGATTTGGTAGGCACAAAAGTATTCCTCAACTTCACAACTACAATTAATGGTTATCAATTGTTAAGTGGGGCCTGCCCCATTTTACAACCTTTCTCGTCACTCATTAAGCGAGCCACTGCAGTTAAGTTAGCAATACCAGCTTAACGTTGGCATTGTTTTTCTTCTCCAGTCCTAAGGAGCTGCCTTGGATCAAACGGAGGGGCTGCTGCCCCTCCGCGATCTAATGAGGGTCCTCTCCAACGGTGGTTGCCCCTGCAGGGCGACTTTTAACTCTTTCCAGGGTCTTTCGAAGTAGAAAAACCAGACGGCGGAGAGAGCTCTCTCCGCGCGTCCGCTAGTGTCGCGATCCGGAACCGGCATTGTTAAATGAATATGGCTTCTCCCCCCTTTGTCAAAAGGTCACAAAAGGGGATCACATGATCCCAGGGACACCGCGACCGCCCTAAATACAAGCCGGTTGCCAAGCGTCTGAATTTTGGAGAACCTGACCTTGCAACAGTCGTGTGAAAAGTGGTTAAAAGTCACTTTTTATCAGCACTGCCGTGACTTCGGTCACTCAATGAACTGTTCTAAGTCAAGGACTCCGTGTAGTTAGGCCTTCAGTAGTTAGGCAGTAAGGAAAGAAAGCAGGAATAGAACCTATCCTGATGGGAATTTGGGTTCCTGGTTATTCAGGCCCAGTCGAGGGGGCATCTCTGGCAACTGTGCCTGCATAGCGGCATCAAAATGATGGCGAGTGTCTCGCGATGGCACCCTTGCACAAATGGCACAATTGTTTTAATAACGCACGTAGGTTCCATCACACGCGGTTTCCGTCGTGCACCTTTTGCCAACATTCTCCAGCATCTTCCAGTCAGAGACAACTCTGTACCATTCTAGCTTTTGTGGACGTGCCCAGATCTTATATAATCTTCAACTTAACGACCATAACTGAATTTCTGCTGCTAAGGAAGGCAGCGGTGAATCGCAGGATGATTTTACAAATTTTTTTGTTAAGCAAATCGCTGCAGTTAAAAGTGAATCGTGCGTTTGTTAGGCCAGGGGTCTTCCAACTTGGCCCTTGGATGACTTGTGGACTTCAACTCCCAGAATTCCTCGGCCAGGCACGCGTGCCTGGCTGAGGAATTCTGGAAGTTGGAAGTCCACAAGTCATCCAAGGGCCAAGTTGGAAGACCCCCTATGTTAGGCAAATCCAGCTTGGGGGAAGATCGCAAATGGTGATCCCCAGAATCATTGTTAAATACGTGAGAGTGGCCTGAATTTTGACCCCATAGCTGTAGTGTTGCTGCCAGCCGTTGTAAATGCGAGGACCAGTCACTTCGGTACGACTCTTAACTTTGGTTTAAGTAGAGGACTTTCCATATTGTCCAGCCCGCTTTAGTTATAGCCTTTGTTTTATCGTACAATTTCTGTCTTTTGAGTTTTACTTAAGGAGAAGAACGGGTATGTAGGTGTTGAAGAACTGTTTTCTGTCTCTAGAATCAAAGCCAGACTTGAGGAAACTAAGCCAGAGAGAGTAAAGCCTTTTATGACCGGGGCAGCTGAGCAAGTCAAGCACATCCTGGGAAACTTCAAAAATTATCAGGTGAGTTCACGGCCTCTTTTGTTTTCCCTCCCAAAACATATCGAGTCTTACATGATCCCAGTGTTGCTGTGAATGGGTTAGCTTTTTGCTACAGACTTTTTTGACAGATTTTTTCTACCTGAGCTCCAAGATCACCGCAGATGGGGACTGCAGCCAAGAAATTAAAAGACGCTTGCTCCTGGGGAGGAAAGCCATGGCAAATCTAGACAGCATACTCAAAAGCAGAGACATCACCCTGCCAACAAATTTGCGTATAGTCAAGGCCATGGTTTTCCCAGTTGCAATGTATGGCTGTGAAAGTTGGACCATAAGAAAGGCTGAGCGCCAAAGAATGGAGGCCTTTGAACTCTGGTGCTGGAGAAGACTCCTGCGAGTCCCCTGGACTGCAAGGCGATCCAACCGGTCAGTCCTGGAGGAGATTAACCCCGACTGCTCTTTAGAAGGCCAGATCCTGAAGTTGAAACTCAAGTCCTTTGGCCACCTAAGGAGAAGGAAGGACTCACTGGAGAAGAGCCTAATGCTGGGAAAGATGGAGGGCAAGAGAAGAAGGGGACAACAGAGAATGAGGTGGCTGGATGGAGTCACTGAAGCAGGAGGCGTGAGCTTCAATGGACTCCAGAAGATGGTAGAGGACAGGAAGGCCTGGAGGAACGTGGTCCATGGGGTCGCAATGGGTCGAACACGACTGCACAACTAACAACAGCAACAGACTTAAAAACACATTTTGTTAAATATCTGGATTTTATTTTAAAATGATTTGGGGAGTGGGGGCAGCTTTTTAACTTCACGTCTGACTGTCTGTGGAGATTCTCAGTCATCCAGGTCATAAAGGTGCATTTATCTCCAGTCTACAACACAGTCCTTGCAACAGTTCCAAGGTGGTTCCCCACCCATTTGCTCTACTCAGGTGACTCTCCAAGTGGCCTCAATGACTCTAAAAGAAGGCAAATGACCAGCTGTCATGGAGTATAAACCCTTCCATTCTCCCACCATCCAGTCAGAGCAGAAGAAGCTTCTTGAGATGAGAAGGGAAACGTCTCCAGAGAAAAACTAAGGATGTCCAGTTCCTTCCTGAAAAAGCCTCTTTGGTTCCAGTCTGACTGAAGAGATTAGATTCTCTAAATTCACAGTTTAATGTTCTGGGGAACCGCACCAATCTGGCCATTCCATCTCTATAAACTATTAAATTAGGTCACCATATCACAAAAAAGATGTTGAGAGTGTGGAAAAAGTTCAGAGAAGAGCAACTAAGATGATCCAAAGCCTGGAGACTAAAACCTACGAAGAACGGCTGCAGGACTTGGGTTTGGCTAGTCTAAAGAAAAGAAGAAATAGGGGGGATATGATAGCAGCGTTCTAGTATTTGAGGGCTGCCACAAAGAAGAAGAGGGGGTCAAATTATTCTCCAAAGCACCAGAGGGCAGGACAAGAAACAATGGTTAGAAACTAATCAAGGAGAGAAGCAACCTGGAATTAAGGAGAAACTTCCTGACAGTGAGGACAATTAACCAGGGGAACAGCTGGCCTCCAGAAATCGTGGGCACTCCATCCCTGGAGGTTTTTAAGAAGAGGCTAGTCCAGGGGTAGGCCACCTTGGCTCTTTTATGAGTCGTGGACTTCAACTCCCAGAATTCCTCAGCTAACATGAGGGAACTATGGCCCCTTCATGACTTGTGGACTTCAACTCCCAGAATTCCTCAGCCAGCATGGGGAACTATGGCCCCTTCATGACTTGTGGACTTCAACTCCCAGAATCCCTGAGCCAGCATGGGGGAACTATGGCCCCCTCATGACTCGTGGGCGTCAACTCCCAGAATTCCTGAGCCAGCATGGGGGAACTATGGCCCCCTCATGACTCATGGACTTCAACTCCCAGAATTCCTGAGCCAGCCTGGCTCAGCTTGGAAACCTCTCCCTTTCCCCTCAGTGTGGCTGCCTCAGGAATTCTGGGAGTTGAAGTCCACCAGTCATAAAAGAGCCAAGGTTGCCTACCCCTGGGCTAGACAGTCACCTGTCTGAGATGGTATAGGTTCTCCTGCTTGAGCAGGGGGCTGGACTAGAAGACCTCCAAGGTCCCTTCCAGATTCTATTCTATTCCAAATGCTCTTAAAGAGATTTATTTCCGTATCAGGGGAAGGAAACCCTCCTTATTTAGAAGCAGACGGAGCAAGATCCCTCCTCGCCTATTTTAACCGGGGATATTTCTTCCTCTAGTTTTTTGTAGGAGAGAACATGAATCCGGACGGCATGGTGGGGCTACTGGACTTCCGCGAAGATGGCGTGACCCCCTATATGATTTTCTTTAAGGATGGATTAGAGATGGAAAAATGCGTAAGTGTTGATGTTTTACAAGGCGCCGGGGGATAAAAATGCCTTTGCAGAGTGACGGGAAACCACACAGTCTTAACTGAGTCAGGCTATTAAGAGTAGCGCAGTTGTAACAGCAGCCAGCTTGGTGTTTACAGTGAGTCCTCAGCTTACGACCAAAATTTCTATCACATTTGTTAAGCGAACTTTGCCCCATTTTCACCACCTTTCCCATCCCGGTTGTTAAGTGAATCACTGTCGTCGTTAAACTAGTCACACGGCTATTAAGTGAATCCGGCTTCGCTTATCAGAAGGGGGTCACGTGACCCCCCAGGACACACTGCTGCGACCGTCGTAAGTACGAGCCAGCTGGCAAGCCTCTTGAGTTTCAATCTTAAGACCGCGAGGTCGCCCCTAAGTCCCTTTTCCCGGTGCCGTTGTAACTTTGAACGGTCACTAAATGAATCGTTACAAATTAAGAACTAGCTGTTTAAGAAACGGACAAACAAGATAGAGAATAACTCTTTATCTGACATTAACTTCACACTAACTCCCGACCCATCACGGCTATCGTGCTGTGCTCTTCCACCTTTGAGCGAAGTTCAGCAATGCGACTAGTCCTCAACATAACGATCACGGTTTCTGTCGCTAAGCGAGACATTTCTTTAAGTGAACTTTGCTCCGTTTCACGCCCTCCCTGGCCGCACTTAAGTGAAACCCTGCGGTTGTTAAAAATTAACACGGGTTGTTAAGCTCCCCCCCCGACTTTGCTTGTCAGGAGGTTGCAAAAGGGGATCATGTCTTGCACACACCACACACACACACAGAGAGACAGGGGACACGCCACGGCCGTCACAAATGTGAGCCAGTTGCCGAGCCTGTGAATTTGGATCAGGGATGCCACAACGGTTGTAAGTGCAAGCAACAGCCCTAGGTCGTTTTCTTTCAGTGCTGTTCTAAGATCCGACGGTCACTAAATGAACGGGTGTAAGTTGAGGACCACCTGTGATTTTTAAAAAGAATATGGGAAACCTGGCTGATGAGCTCCGCTATTTCTAAAAAAATAAAAATCAGTTAATTAATGAACCGGTGTAAGTTGAGGACTACCTGCGATTTTTAAAAAGAATATGGGAAACCTGGCCGATGAGTTCCATTATTTCTTTAAAAAATCAGTTAATTAATGAACTGGTGTAAGTTGAGGACCACCTGTGGTTTTAAAAGAATCATATGCGAAGCCTGGCTGATGAAGCTCCGTTATTTCTTTTAAAAAAAAATCTGAATTTGTTCTGAATATTGCTGTTGGCCTTTTGTGTCCTGTCGTCGTCCCCCCCAAAAAAGTGGTGTCTGGTGGAGAAGTTCTCCATCCCGCTTTCCTCCTTTCAAAGCCCCCCCCTCCCAGAAATAAGGGAGCGAGGAGATCTTCCTGACCCCCAAGCATCAACTGATAGGCCGGGAGGGCTTTTGATTTCCTGCCTGGCTTGCATCCCGATGCAATAGCGATCTTTCCCTGCGCTTTCTGTCTGCCCGTTCCCCGTAGCAGCTCAGATTGAATAAGGGAGAACATTTATAAAGCAGCCGGAAACGGCTGATTGGTGTTGGGTCCAAAACGAAACCTGGCTTAACTCTCCTTCCTTTCTTAACAGTAACAAGAAAACCCAATCATTCCGAATCATTTTCTCATCATAATTGGCTGCTGCTCTTTATTCATCATCCAACAAAAAAACATCATGGCTCAACAAATGTCTGCAAACCTGGACTTGATTTCATCTTGAGCTTAATTTGATTTATTTTGAATCCCCCCCCCCCTGAATTAATTGGAAGTGGAGGCATTTGGGGTTTTTTTTTTTCTTTTGGGTTTTTTTTTTTAAAAAAAAGGAGAAAAAAAAACTTGTCTTGTAGGCTGTCTAAAATAAAAAAAAAAACTCATTTAAACCCAGCATTAGGTGACGCCTCTTGGTTTAATGTGTTGAGCGGGAATTCTCGTAGCTGTTGTGCGTTTGGATGGCTTGATACCTCCCTAAGCTGTAGTGTGGCCTTTAGCGGTTGCGTCTCCACATACCGGGACCTTGACAACTGGAAGATCCAATTGGCCACAACCGAACTGTTGTTTTAGACAACTTGGAGGGAAAAAACTTCTAATCAATAAAAGAAGACGGATGACTTTCTGAAAGCGGACTTCGCATCTCGTCACGCGACAAATCGCAATAACTACTCGGGAGGACAAGGTGTGGCGTAGCTCCACACGCCAATCTGAATATTTCGCCCGTAAAGGAAGGAGGAGAGATGGCGTGTATTTTTTTTGCAACAAACACACATCATGGCAAACGCTGATTTGAGCAGAAAGTGGGAAGAGAGAATTCCTGGCAGCGGGAACGAGAATATCGGGCAAAAGAACCTACGCATTTCTCGAGGCGTCGCTGACGTGTTGTAATAACGAAATAACTGTAATTTAAATACATAAGTATAATACCAATTTCATCACAGGTTACTAATTTGCTGTGTGGTGTATCAATTCCTAAGCCTGAAGCCCTTCGCTGCAGTTGGGTAGTAAACTACACGGATCAAAGGGAACGGCTTTACGCAGTGAGCATGGTGTACTTCCAGTTTGAATTGTGCAAAGTTTGAAGGACTGGAATCCTGATTATTTCTCCCTCCCCCAAGTAGTTATCTGTAATTGGGGAGGTGGGAGGGCAGGGATCCATATCAGATTACTTGAGAATTATTATACCTTGTTTACTACAGTTAGAGACGCAGTTATTTCTACCAGGGTTCTGGGCAATTGTAGGTAACAGAAAGTGGGCAGTGGAGAAGACAAATGCCTCTTCAAAGGAGAGGGGCTGGTCTGTGCTCTCCATTTGGAGGGAAAGGGGGTACCTGCAACAGAGATTCTTCAGCTGACAAACTAGGAAACCAGGGTCAACAAAATGGCTTTGCAGTATGATGTCTAGGAAGTCTGGTGTGCTGCCCTAACAGGACTAAAAGTCTGGAATGCTAATTTTGAGAGTTCAGTTGCACAGATGACTCTCTCTGCCCGTGTTTCTCTTAAGCAAAAAAAAATGCTCAATTTTTTTTTCCCCATCAAACCTCTCTTGGGTGTAAACAAGGATAGACAATCTTTCAACCTGGCTAGCAAGAGCTGTTCAGCTCAGCACTGGTAGTAAAATATGCATAGGTTTGGGATGACCGAGCGCAGATTGAGTGGCTCTGGATTCTGTGTATAAAGAGCTGGTAGGTCTAAGCAGACAGGATTACATAATTTTGTAAATGAAAGTGCCTTATTTTAGGGAATGGGAAGTTTAGTTGATTGTTAGTTTTATTTTTTATCATGGCCTTATTGATTGTTAGTTTTACTTTTTATCATGGCCGTATTTTTCTATAAAGCTTAACCATTGACTGGTGCGTAGATAGATTAGATAGATGATAGATTGCTAGATGATGGATGTAGAGATAGAGACATATATAGAGAGACGGATTAGAGATGGATAGATATAGATGATAGATGTAGAGATTAGAGAGGGAAAGAGGGATATAGATGTAGAGATAGATGGATAGGTAGATGTAGAGATAGATGGATAGGTAGAGATAGATGGATAGGTAGATGTAGAGACAGATTATAGACATGTAGAGATAGAGATGGATGATGGATAGATATGATAGATGTAGAGAGGGAAAGAGGGATAGATATAGATGTAGAGACATGAGGGATATAGAGATAGATGTAGAGACAGATGTAGAGATAGATGGATAGGTAGAGATAGATGGATAGGTAGATGTAGAGACAGATTATAGACATGTAGAGATGGATGATGGATAGATATGATAGATGTAGAGAGGGAAAGATATAGATGTAGAGACGGATATAGAGAGATAGATGTAGAGACGGATAGATGTAGAGATAGATGGATAGGTAGATTTAGAGATGGATATAGACATGTAGAGATAGAGATGGATGATGGATAGATGTAGAGAGATCAGAAGGATAGAGGGATATATATAGATGAGAGGGATATAGAGAGATAGATGATAGATGTAGAGACATGGATAGATACAGATGTATAGATGGATAGGTAGATGTAGAGATGGATAGATGACATGTAGAGATAGAGACAAATTGATAGGCAGACGTGTAGTAAGATGGATAGATAGGTGCACTCCTATTTAAATTATTAAATATGCAAGTCAGACTATTAAAAAGTTTTCAGCATTGGTTTTAATGGGAATTGCTAGCTGTAACTGACAAGATAGGAAAGCTTGAGTGCGCTCTGGATATTTGGTGTGGTTCTAGTATTTTCACTTTGTGTTTCAGTTATGTTGTGCAGGTGATTCTAAATAGACAGACATCCCTCTCCAAAGCAGAGTTCTTTAGAGCCCCAACACCTGGAAGCTTTTGCTGTTCGGCATGGTACCCCGGGGTTTTTTAAAATGATGCTTAAAGCAATTGCCTGTCTTATGGGTATATTAGAAGATAAATTGCTCATGAGGAGCACAGGTGTGTTTTGCATTATGAAGGAAGAGCAAATATGTGTATAGCGCAACTAGATGTTTTCCTGCCACCTGCAGCAGAGGGAAACTGGAGGGAATGTCCTTCAGATAGAAGTGAGTGCAGGATAGTTTTTATCTGTTAACTTTTCTTTTCTTGGGGCCTTTCACAGCCTCTTTGAAAAAGGGTCACATGAAAGCAGCCAAACAGTGTTATCGAGACTGTATTATTGGAAACCGCTTAAATGTTTCTGTGACTTGCGTGTACGTTTTTTTTTTTGGGCTCAGCTGTGCGGTTTCGTTGCCTGTGAAATCGCTCGTTTGCAGGACTTTGGGTGGATCTTTTAAACATTTCACTTCCTAGCTTAAATGTTGAGGGTGGTGTTGTTTTAAGTCTCTCACTATTTCCTTTCCACTCTGTATTCTGCAAACCCTGGGTGCTTGGCTAAAGGGGAGCTTAATTACTGAGAAAAAAAAAGCTCTTTTGTATGCACGGCGTAAGCGTTTTCAGTTTTAAGAGTCTTTGGAACCGGAAGCGATCCTTGACAGACCGTATTCAAGCAAGCATTGATTAAGGACTATGCTGGGATAATGGAAGAAACGGGCCAGAGTAAGATCTATTCATTGCCCTGGCAGACTTCCTATTTTGGGGCTTATGTTCAAAATGTTCCAGGGGAAAAAAAACCCCCAGAATTCTGAAGTATTACTCACATATTGACGGGCAAAGCTATAATCTTTTGCTATTTCCTGGGCATCAAGACCCCACATCCTGTCGCCCACCGGATTGTGTGACTGCAACTGGGCTGTTTATTCTCTTGGTAAGAAAGTTTTCAAGAAAACCAGGCTTAAACAGCTGGGTGAAAAAAATATTTTTATGTCTATGAAGTTCTTAAGTACCTAGGCCTGAGGCAGCAAAGCATTAAGATTTTGGTTTTTAAAGAAAGGTTCCTATAGACGAACTAGCCTAAGAGTATTCAGGTTACTTTAGTGTAAAACATGGGTCTTGCTGGCAGGTCCAAATGCAAAGCTTTCACAAGACGTGTAATCTTTTGAGCCAGACAAATGTTACGTTTGCCGCCGAGTCCATCTTAAAGCCAAAACTTTTATTTTTAAATCGTTATTTGTTAAAAAAAAAATTGTGGGGCCGATTTGAACTGTTCCCTTATTTATTCTGAGCGCTTCCAAAATAGGCTTAGTTTTATTTTAATGAACCCCTTTGGCGATCTCTCTATAAATTGTAACATTTCAATCCTTTCCGTGTTCCACCTGTAAATGTCTTTTGCACCCTTGCTTTGGATGAAAAGTTGAAGCGCTGGCAATTTTAAGGGAATTCGGACCGCCACATTTTATAAAACGCTTTTATGGAAATGTATACGCCTTTTCTGCATGTCTGGGGGCACGATTCAAAGACGTTTCTGCACTATATAGATAACTGATGTGCTTAATAGGCTTTGGTAGAGTATAGGGCAGGGGTAGGCCACCTTGGCTCTTTTATGACTGGTGGACTTCAACTCCCAGAATTCCTGAGCCAGCATGGGGGAACTATGGCCCCCTCATGACTNTGGCCCCTTCATGACTCGTGGACTTCAACTCCCAGAATTCCTGAGCCAGCATGAGGGAACTATGGCCCCCTCATAACTCGTGGACTTCAACTCCCAGAATCCCTGAGCCAGCATGGGGAAAACTTTGGCCCCTTCATGACTCGTGGACTTCAACTCCCAGAATTCCTCAGCCAGCGTGGGGGAACTATAGCCCCTTCATGACTCGTGGACTTCAACTCCCAGAATCCCTGAGCCAGCGTGGGGGAACTATAGCCCCTTCATGACTCGTGGACTTCAACTCCCAGAATTCCTCAGCCAGCATGGGGGAACTTTCGCCCCTTCATGACTCGTGGACTTCAACTCCCAGAATTCCTGAGCGAGCATGGCTCAGCTTGGAAACCTCTCCCTTTCCCCTCAGCATGGCTGGCTCAGGAATTCTGGGAGTTGAAGTCCACCAGTCATAAAAGAGCCAAGGTTGCCTACCCCTAGTATAGGGCGTCAAGTATTAGAGTCACACATCTGAAATTCCTCCGTTGTGAGGAAAATTGTTTTTGCCCCCAAGTGTCTCCAGAGTTTCATTAATGCAGCTTGCGATCCCATTTCCTGAAAATTGCTATCCAATCCCACACAATATTCCAGATAAATTTACCCACATTAGGTTTAATATACTCTTGTGAGAAGATCTCTTATTTATACATAAACA